TGAATTAAAAAAATGATAAATAAAAAATTAATGATTTTTGATTATTTCAAAAAAATTAAAGTAATGAAAATTTAATATTGTAAAAATTAAATTTAATTTTTTAAAAAATTAAATTTTCCGAATCAAAAAAATATATTTCAGATTATTTTATATTTATAAAAAAATAAAAAATTCCATTTGAATAAAATAAATGTTATCTTTATTTATTAAAAATTTTTACTAATTTTAAATCATGATTATTATTTTTATTTTAAAAATATTTATAATATATATGCCGATTATAATTTATGAATTATATGAATAATATGAAGAAATATTGTATATATTAAATTATGTATTTTATAAATATTTATAATTTATTCATCAATAAAGAATTTTATTATAAAAATATAAAAATATTTATAAATAAATATAATATATTTTTAAAAATAAATTTACAATTAAAATTTTTTTAATTGATTTTATAATAATATTTGAATTTTTGGAAAATTTTATTTAATTAAGTTGCAAAATTTTTTCTTTTTTATTTTTTTTGAACAATTTTTATAAAATGAGGAAATAAACATTAATATATTGTATTTTATTTTAGAAGAAAAAAAAATTATAAAAAAATGAAATGTTTTGAATTTATAAAAAAAAATTAAATTTTGATTTAAAAAAATCAAAATATTTTTTACAAATTGGAAATGGCAAATTCAAAAGAATTAACTGATTAAATATTCAAAAAAATGTTTTGATTTTTTTTTTATTTATTAATTTATTTAAACAAAAAATATTAATTATTTAATTAATTTCAAATAAACTAAAATGCCAAAAATAGACACAAAACTAATATATTTAATTATAGATTTTTATCAGGATTAATAAGAAAAATAAAATAATTTTTAAAAGATATTTATATAGAATGAAAGTTATATAAAATAGTTTTAAAAAAAAAAATTCAAATTAATAAATGAAATAAAAAAAAAAATTTATTTTATTTAATTAATTTATTTTTTTTAATAAAATGTCAAAATTTACAAAAAAAAAATATCATTATATTTATATAAACATTTTTTTAAAATTTATTTATGAAAATGTTTAAGGATTTAAAAATTTTCAAATGAAATTTTTTAAAAAAAAAAAAAAATAAAAAATTTAAATATAAATAATAAATTATAAAAACAATACATATTTTTTATTTAAACAATGTGATCATCAAAATATTTTAAAATATTTTATTTTCATTAAATATATAAAAAATATAAACAAACAAATATATAAAATAGATATATATCATTTAAATAAAAAAAATAAAATTTTGAAAATCTTTAAAATTTAAATATATTTTTAAGATATAAATATAAATTTCAATGATTAAAACATTTTTTTTTTAAAAAAAAGAAATATCAAAATCATTTAAATTCAATATATCCATAGAAATTAATATATATATATACAATTTAAAAAATCAAACTGAAAATTTTGCAAAATCCTTAAAAATGCTAAAAGGAAAGAAAATTTTTAATAAATAAAAAAATAATATATATCAATATTTAGCAATATATTATTTAAATATTTAATAAAAAATTTAGATTCAAACAAATATTATGAAAATTTTTTTTTTAAATTTTTAATTTAAAAAAATAAAAATGAAAAAATAACATTAATGAGATGAAAAAAAAAAATATAAATAAAATTTACATAAATATGATAAATTTAAAATAAAAAATTAGATTAATAGAATATTTTTTCTAAAAAAAAATTTCAATTTTTAAATAATATATATATAAATATATATATAATATAGAACATATAATATATATATATCAGGTCATCCCATAAGTTCTGTCCGAATTTTAACTTTTTGTTAAAATGAACGAAATTTAAAGAGTATTTTATAATGTCTAATGGAGCTGAACATTATTTTTATGTTTAGATGCATTTAAACTGATCAAATTTTATTTCAGAGAACAATAAATAAAAATTTTGTTTGATTAAAACCCTGCTAACATGGAAGTACCCAAGAATCATTTGAGGCACATAATGCTTTATGAGTTCAAGAAAGGAAACTCAGCAGCCGAAGCGGCTAGAAACATTCACTCAGTTTATGGAGAGGAATGTGTGAATGAAAGAACTTGCAGAAGATGGTTTGCAAAATTCAGAGGTGGAGATTTCACCCTTGAAGATGAAGATCGAACCGGACGTCCAGTTGAGTTTGATGAAAAGCTTCTTGAAGCAGCCCTTGAAGAAAATCCTGCTTTATCAGTTGAGGAATTGGCAGTGGTTCTCAGTTCAAACCATACAACTGTTCATCGTCATCTTCAACAACTTGGAAAAGTTCCTAAACTTGGAAAATGGGTGCCTCATGAATTGTCTGAAAACAACCTCAAATCCTGAGTTGACATCTGCTCTTCTCTCCATTCTCGCCAACTTGTTTCACTTTTTTTTGGATAGACTTGTGACTGGCGACGAAAAATGGATCTTTTATCGAAATGTTAAGCGTCGTAGACAGTGGCTTGGTAAAGGGAAGGACCCCAGCCACAGCCGAGAAGGGAACTTCATGGGCAAAAGGTTCTTCTTTCAATCTGGTGGGATCGCCAAGGAATAATCCACTTTGAATTCTTACCACCTAATGCAACAATTAATGCTCAAATATACTGTCAGCAATTAGAGCGTTTGAACCAAGCTTTGAGAAAAAAAAAGACCTGCTCTAGTGAATCGAAAAAGAGGTGATGTTTCATCAGGACAATGCGCGACCCCACACAGCAAGAATCACGTCACAAAAGATCGAAGAACTTGGTTGGGAGAAAATTCCTCATCCACCTTATTCTCCCGATCTTGCTCCTTCAGACTACCATTTGTTTCGTAGCTTACAGAATCATTTGGAAGAAACAGCTTTTGTAACACAGGAAGAGGTTAAAACTGACATTTGTGAGTTCTTCGAATCAAAGCCAAAAAGAATTTTACAGTAATGGAATTAGTAAGCTTGTTAATAGATGGAAGGAAGTCATAGATAATCAGGGAAAATACATTGTTGATTGAATCTGTAATTAAATGTAACATTTGGTCACTTGTTTTCTTTATTCAAAATTCGGACAGAACTTATGGGATGACCTGATATATATTTGAATCAACACCCTTGATTGCAATCATCAAACCATTAATAAATTTTTTTATATTTATATATGCTCTATCCTGATATTAAGTATTAAATAATAGTTTAGTAGACTATTATTTTTTAGAGAAGCGTATTTCTTCCTTATTTTGACCTTTGAGGTCAGATACAGGAAAACAAAGGAAGTTGATTTTGATTGGCTAAAGCTAGCGTGGGAATGATAGATAAAAAATGGATGTCAGTGAGTTGGTTCTGACATGTCAAACAATGTAGACGTGTGAAATTTGTTTCTGGAGACTGCTCATCAGTCGGGTTGGATAGCAACTCTACTGGATAGTTAGAAAATGTACATATTGACATTTTGAATAAAATAGTTAAGTTTTCAAATTCCCTTTGTGAAGTTTTCTTTTATCTCTGAACCAAACCCAACTATCAATCACTGGGTGTGTGGGAGACAAGGCAACATCAATATGAGAGAATAAACACCATCGCCCCAAGACCAACGCCCACCGAGAGACTATAAACATTGATATATATATATATATATATATATAAAAACTGACACGGAGGAGGCACAGTGGAGTAATGGATAGCAGGTCAGATTGAGGAATCAAAGAGCTTTGAATTCCACTCGAGTCCATTACATTCATTTACATACTAATACCCTGGGGAAAGGTATGAATCCTGTTCTTCTCCCAGCTATGGGTAAATAGTAGGAGAGAGTGGGTTCTATTTTTTGGAAATTGTTAACTGGTCTACTGCAGAAAGAAATGGCAACCTAATAATTAAAAAAAAGAAATACATCAGTCATGTATCAAAAGATACATGATCGCCTAAATATCACACATCAATAAATAAAAAACTGTCTCATGGTTATGTTAATTTTTTGTTTTATATACAATTTGAAACAATCAACCTTTCAAAAAAAAAAAAAGGGGTTTGAAGTAATTTAATGCCAACTAGTTATATGCTTTGAGAGTTTCCCACATAAAATATCTGGATATATACATATAAAAACACACATTAAAACAACAGTTCTAATACGATAACTGAAGTTAAGCAGGGTTAAAGCTGGTCAGTAAATTTTAAGTGATCATTTTTGAATACAATTGCCGTTTTATAGGCATTATGTTGCTGGTGCATTGCATAATGCCTCGGAATTGGAAATCAGAAAATCCAAGATCCAATTCCAGTTGGGTTCATTGCATTCACTTACATGCCAATCTGCTTGGTATAAATATCCACCACTTCTCACCCCCAACTATGGATTAATTAGTAAAGCCTGTAACAGTACATGATTATTATCACTCCACCTAAAAAAATATTCTTACAATTTAAAAATATCCTCTGGCTTTAAAATAATCTGCAAAAGGCTGATAAGCTGTAAAAAACAAATCAACATATATATATATATTGAGGACAATTTGAAATATCAAATATATATATAAATAAATAAATACTTTCATAAAATAAAACATTATAATTTTTAATTTGAAACTTTTTCTATATATACATATTAAGAAAAGTATATTTGTTTATTTTATTATATATATATATATATATATATATATATATATATAATTTATTTTAGGATATTAAAATAACATGTAAAAATCACTACACAATTGCAGTCATGTTTCCATGCATACCAATGTGTCTCCTGAGGCAATTGTAAATTACTGGCGAGTGAATGATTAATTTGGTTTTAAAAGCAAAATACATCCTTTTTTTTCAAAAAAGAAAAGAAAAAAGAGGTACTTGACCTGTTACTTGGCCTGAAAGTTATTTATGATAATTCATACATTTAAAAATGTTGAAAAAACTAACATAATTTTTTTATTTCTTTTTATAATAACATATTATTTAATGTTTTCTTCACCAGGACCAGAAGATTCTAAAGTTAATGAAAGCCAAAAGAGAAGCTGAAAAAGCATTCCTCAATCGCCGAGAGAAACTTCATCTTGCATGGGATGAAGAGCAGAAACGAGTAGAGTCAGCTAAAATGGCAATGGAAAATATTCGGCGGAGGAGACTGGCTGCAGAATGTTTACACAGAAAACAAGAACAGGTGAGAGGCAAGAATTTTCTCAAATAGGGACATCCATACATTCCATAATTTTAAGATGTGTCATTATCATTATAAGATCTGTCTATATTTCTGAGATGAGGCATTTTAACTATTTACATTATTTACATTGTTCAGACTGTGGTCACATTCACAAAGTTTCGGCTGTTGTATGCTCCAGCCTTCTTTAGATGATATTTGTTTGAAACGCCAACATACTGATTGACTACTCTTGGTTTATTTTGAAATTCAAAAAAATATCATCTGAAGAAGGCCAGGGTGCACAATGGCCGAAACGTTAAGAATGTGATAATAAAATGAGGACAAAAGTCCAAACAATGTAAATAGGGTAAATTATTCCAAGAGTCCTGAACACTAAGGATCTCATTCTGTTTAATGTTTTTAATTGTAATTATAACTGGTAACAGTAATATTAGCAGTTTCCTTATAAGGAAACATCTGGTGTTCATTGAAAAAGAAGCCAGTGCTTATTTCAGTTGAAATTTACTAAAATCTTTCGATTTTTTAAAAATAATTTCACCCCAAGCAAGACAGAAAAACTAGTAAAACGCAAGGGTTACCAAGTGAGACAGAATAAGAAGAAAATTATTAAAGAGCAAGAACAATAAACATTTAAATTCACTGTTTTTTTATTAAGGTAAATTCTATCTATGTAAGAATTTCTTTCAGACAATATGAGTATTAGTAGTAGTAATATTATTACAATTAAAGATCAAGCATTGTCAAGCATTCTTCATTTTTTCACTAGGATTTCTTTTCATCTTCATTTCAATTGCTTTATTTCCACTAGTAGTATTAGTAGTAGTAATTATCTACAATTTTGATTGAAAATTGTCAAGCATTCTTCATTTTTCACTAGGATTTCTTTCATCTTCATTTCAATGGCTTTATTTCCACTAGTAGTATTAGTAGTAGTAATATTATCTGCAATTTTCATTAGATCAAGCATTGTCAAGCATTCTTCATTTTTCACTAGGATTTCTTTCATCTTCATTTCAATTGCTTTATTTCCACTAGTAGTATTAGTAGTAGTAATATTATCTGCAATTTGATTATTTCAAGCATTGTCAAGCATTCTTCATTTTTCACTAGGATTTTCTTTCATCTTCATTTCAATTGCTTTATTTCCACTAGTAGTATTAGTAGTAGTAATATTATCTGCAATTTTTCATTAGATCAAACATTGTCAAGCATTCTTTTTTTTCACTAGGATTTCTTTCATCTTATTTCAATTGCTTTATTTCCACTAGTAGTATTAGTAGTAGTAATATTATCTGCAATTTTCATTAGATCAAGCATTGTCAAGCATTCTTCATTTTTCACTAGGATTTCTTTCATCTTCATCTTCAATTGCTTTATTTCCACTAGTAGTATTAGTAGTAGTAATATTATCTGCAATTTTGATTAGATCAAGCATTGTCAAGCATTCTTCATTTTTCACTAGGATTTCTTTCATCTTCATCTTCAATTGCTTTATTTCCACTAGTAGTATTAGTAGTAGTAATATTATCTGCAATTTTGATTAGATCAAGCATTGTCAAGCATTCTTCATTTTTCACTAGGATTTCTTTTTCATCTTTATTTCAATTGCTTTATTTCCACTAGTAGTATTAGTAGTAGTTTATTATCTGCAATTTTCATTAGATCAAGCATTGTCAAAGCATTCTTCATTTTCACTAGGATTTCTTTCATCTTCATCTTCAATTGCTTTATTTCCACTAGTAGTATTAGTAGTAGTAATATTATCTGCAATTTTGATTAGATCAAGCATTGTCAAGCATTCTTCATTTTTTTCACTAGGATTTCTTTCATCTTCATCTTCAATTGCTTTATTTCCACTAGTAGTATTAGTAGTAGTAATATTATCTGCAATTTTGATTAGATCAAGCATTGTCAAGCATTCTTCATTTTTCACTAGGATTTCTTTCATCTTCATTTCAATTGCTTTATTTCCACTAGTAGTATTAGTAGTAGTAATATTATCTGCAAATTTGATTAGATCAAGCATTGTCAAGCATTCTTCATTTTTCACTAGGATTTCTTTCATCTTCATTTCAATTGCTTTATTTCCACTAGTAGTATTAGTAGTAGTAATATTATCTGCAATTTTGATTAGATCAAGCATTGTCAAGCATTCTTCATTTTTCACTAGGATTTCTTTCATCTTCATTTCAATTGCTTTATTTCCACTAGTAGTATTAGTAGTAGTAATATTATCTGCAATTTTGATTAGATCAAGATATTGTCAAGCATTCTTCATTTTCACTAGGATTTCTTTTCATCTTCATCTTCAATTGCTTTATTTCCACTAGTAGTATTAGTAGTAGTAATATTATCTGCAATTTTGATTAGATCAAACATTGTCAAGCATTCTTCATTTTTCACTAGGATTTCTTTCATCTTCATCTTCAATTGCTTTATTTCCACTAGTAGTATTAGTAGTAGTAATATTATCTGCAATTTTTTGATTAGATCAAGCATTGTCAAGCATTCTTCATTTTTCACTAGGATTTCTTTCATCTTCATCTTCAATTGCTTTATTTCCACTAGTAGTATTAGTAGTAGTAATATTATCTGCAATTTTGATTAGATCAAGCATTGTCAAGCATTCTTCATTTTTCACTAGGATTTCTTTCATCTTCATTTCAATTGCTTTATTTCCACTAGTAGTATTAGTAGTAGTAATATTATCTAAAAAATTTGATTAGATCAAGCATTGTCAAGCATTCTTCATTTTTCACTAGGATTTCTTTCATCTTCATTTCAATTGCTTTATTTCCACTAGTAGTATTAGTAGTAGTAATATTATCTGCAATTTTGATTAGATCAAGCATTGTCAAGCATTCTTCATTTTTCACTAGGATTTCTTTCATCTTCATTTCAATTGCTTTTATTTCCACTAGTAGTATTAGTAGTAGTAATATTATCTGCAATTTTGATTAGATCAAGCATTGTCAAGCATTCTTCATTTTTCACTAGGATTTCTTTCATCTTCATTTCAATTGCTTTATTTCCACTAGTAGTATTAGTAGTAGTAATATTATCTGCAATTTTGATTAGATCAAGCATTGTCAAGCATTCTTCATTTTCACTAGGATTTCTTTCATCTTCATCTTCAATTGCTTTATTTCCACTAGTAGTATTAGTAGTAGTAATATTATCTGCAATTTTGATTAGATCAAGCATTGTCAAGCATTCTTCATTTTTCACTAGGATTTCTTTCATCTTCATTTCAATTGCTTTATTTCCACTAGTAGTATTAGTAGTAGTAATATTATCTGCAATTTTGATTAGATCAAGCATTGTCAAGCATTCTTCATTTTTCACTAGGATTTCTTTCATCTTCATCTTCAATTGCTTTATTTCCACTAGTAGTATTAGTAGTAGTAATATTATCTGCAATTTTGATTAGATCAAGCATTGTCAAGCATTCTTCATTTTTCACTAGGATTTCTTTCATCTTCATTTCAATTGCTTTATTTCCACTAGTAGTATTAGTAGTAGTAATATTATCTGCAATTTTCATTAGATCAAGCATTGTCAAACATACTTCATTTTTCACTAGGATTTCTTTCATCTTCATTTCAATGGCTTTATTTCCACTAGTAGTATTAGTAGTAGTAATATTCTCTGCAATTTGGATCAGATCAAGCATTGTCGAGCATTCTTCATTTTTTACTAGGATTTCTTTCATGTTCATTTCAATTGCTTTATTCCCACTAGTAGTATTCGTAGTAGTAATACTATCTGCAATTTTGATTGGATCAAGCATTTTTAAGCATTCTTTATTTTCCACTTGAAAGGATTAAAGCAAAAATAAAAAGCCATAGTAAGTCTAAATTATTTAACAAAGCCTGTTTGAATGAAAATATGTTGCCTATATATATATATATATATATATATATATATAAATATAGTAGATAAGTTAGTCAATAAAACAAAGTCAAATGAAAGGGTACTGATATAATCAGTATGAAAAACAATTATTAATTTTAACTATGTGACAAAAATGAAGCATGAGAGATTAAGGTTCCAAGTTCAGAATTTTCGAACACGCCTGTGTTCTTCATCAGCAGATGTGTGAAATAAACAGTGGTACAGTGATGACTAACCAACATTAGTTCTTGAGGCTGGCTAGAGTCCTGCTTGTAGGTGGAATTGTTTAATTTCTTGTGTGAAAAACTTTTTTCTAATTATATATATATATATATATATATATATATATATATATATATATATATATGGCTTCTGTTTCACCAGGTCCACAGCCAATGTATTAACAGCCATCACTGAATTTGTCTATCAAGCTCCAGATAAGAATGGCTCTAGATATCTCAAAGGCATTCGACAGGGTTTGGCATGCTGGCCTTCTATGCAAGCTCCAGAGCTATATCGTCACAGGACAAATATTTGGTTTCATCCAATTGTTCCTAATAAATCATGAAATGACGATCATGCTGAATGAGCTCACTTCCAGATCCTTTCATACAAATGTGGGGGCCCACCAGGGCTCTTTCCTGCGATCTACGGTATGGGAAATAGAATCGGTGAGCCAAGTTCAAATTTCAGCACTTTTGAACCTTCGAGAAAGGCATGAACCTGCCTATTCTTCTACTAAATATGGATAGATGTAGCTCTCTAGAATTGGGTGACGACCAGCTTAAGAGAAGAAATGGTACCCGTAAACTGCTTCACTATCTTTCCAAGAAGACAATAAAGAAAAATTGGAAAATGTGGAGAGAGATGTGGAGAACGATGGTTGTTTACTTCCTGAAAAATCATGGCATTAAAAAAAATAGAAATACCAGTACTTAGTCATCTATGTTCTTTAATATGAATAAAAATGGTACATAACAAGTTAGTCTATGTGACAGGTTAGTGGCAACATACAAATTAGATTTTCATATGTGTTTCACTGAATGACAAGGAAAATTTTCTGTTTGAATTTCTGAATAATAAGGTAAATTTGTTAAGTTTTTTTATTCAGTTTTCTTTTTATGGGGACTAAAGGAGGAAAAAAACTGTCTGTAGTGATTATTGTTCCAAGCACTTTCAGTTAATTCATTAGGCATTTTCTGAGAGGTTCCTTGTTAGTAGATTTTCATGTGTTTATGTTCTAAGTTACATTGTACAGAAGTAGTAGTAATTCTAAGTTGTGCTGCATGGAAGTAATAGTAATTTCATGTTGAAAATGGCTAATGAAGTATTTGGGACAATAATCAATATGGAGAGTGTCTATACTCTCTTAATGCTCATAAAAGGAAAACTGTAAGAACAATAAATTTTCTGATTCCTTGCAAATTCTCGACACCACTTTTGTGATGTTGGATGGCTTCACTTGTCGCTTTTGCTATGTCAAGTGAAAGTTCGTCATCACTACCAAAAATGCTTGTTGTATTCAAGACTTCATAAATGCCGGTACTAGTAGTAATGCCTTCCAATAATATCCACACTAGTATTACTTGTTCAAGTAGTAATCGCCAAATAGTATAATGATCAGAAGAGAATCGTAATCCGTAGAGTAGAGAGAGTGTACGTATAGCAATCGTGGATAGACAAGAAGAGTGAACAGTGATCATATAGTCATCACGCTACTTCCTATTTATTCACTTCCTTTATGATCACGTGATCTAGTTAGTAATGGAATCACCCGTGTTACTTACTGGCGATCTAGTTTCAAATTACACTGTCAGCAACAAAGCATAATCTTATACAACAATAAAAAAAGTAAATAAAATCTTTATCAGATTTTTCTTGCCTGCCATATTCAATAAAACATGTATAAAAGAATAGTTGCTGCCCAAATATACAATATTTAATTTCAGATTTTTTATGTACTCTATTTGTAAGGTCTTCATTCAATATTACATAAATCAGGTTTAATGAATTCTAATCTACAACAATTATTTCCCAAAATAATTTTCCTTGTTTTTGACAAATGGACCAGTAGTATCATTTTGTCTTGTGTCAAGTCTGTTGTTGGTTTATGTATTAACTCAAAATGTTTGAAAAAATAATCCTTACAAACAGTTTTATTCTCTCTCTTAGTCCCTATAAAAGGAAAACTAAGAAAAACTGAATAAAAATAAACATGTATAAAAGAAAGGTTGCTGCTCAAATATACAGTATTCAATTTCAGATTTTTATGTATACTATTTGTAAGGTCTTCATTTAATATTACATATCACATTATACCAAACATGACTTTATCTTGAACTGCAAAAATATTTCAAATGTCAGTCTCTGTGGTGAAAATTAAGAAATTTTCACAAAGCTTTATACAAATGATACAATTTTGCCAATTTTGATCCCAGCTTTCCTGAACAATTTTAAACCTTCTGCCTGAGCTCCTGAGTCAAAATTCACAAATAATTGCTATGTAATGTTTCACAGTAAAGATAGAAATAATTACAAGTGTTTACCCACCATTCAGCCGGTCGCTGGGCATTACGTCATTTTTCTCTACCACTGGTAAAGCGGTGGTCAGGGCTCAAATTTGCTTAACTGAGAAAGATGTGGCTTATCCCTGGCCAGTCAATGAATTCTGTAGATATTGTATCATCAAATAACCATTTTATTTGATCTTTGCAGAATTCTTCTATTTAAAAAACTAATATTTCCTCCAAATTCTTCAAAAATGTTGTTATGTAGTGTTTCACAGTGGAGGCTTGTATTTGTACTAAGTCGGTCCTAAAATAGGTTCGACGTACAAAACGTTAGGAACTTAATATAATAGGTAATGACGCAATAATCTAGTTGTGGTGGCTGATACTTTAATATCCGACTAACGGTCGTCCGACATCGACTGACTGACCAACCCACTGCCGACTCTCGACTGCTACTACTCCTACTTATTATAGGTGGGAGAGTCTATTAAGAATAGAAGAGGTGTGTTCCACCATAACAAATGTGCTTTGCTCAGAATGTTTCACATTAGATATAAAAATAGTTACAAGTGTTTAGCCACTTTTTTTTTACCACTGTTCAATTGGTAACTGGGCATTACGTTTTTTTCTACTGTTGGTAAAGCAGTGGTCAGGGCTGAAAGGGTTAAGGATAATTCTCCCAAGTTAAGGACAGTAAGCCTGGAAATTTCAAACCAAAAGCCAAGACTAAATTGTTTTTTATTCTTGTAGGAATACTGGGAGAATGAAAAGAAGAAGGTGACCGAAATGGAGACAATGGAGAAAGAATTGGCAGCAGAATGTTGCGCAGAGCATCGAGCAAGACTCATTTCTGAAATCCAGAAGAAAAAGGTAACCCCAAAGAAATCTCCATTTTTTTTGCATGCACGAATAAATCATTATAAGCAGGATTTTACCGTTAACATTTTGAACATTAAAACATTGTCTTTTCTATTTACTCTCTCATGTAGCGAATCACCTTCATTTCCTTCGTATTCCTTTGGTGGAATGTAAATTTCACTTGAGTAGCTTAACACTGCTTTGTGGAATCGACTCTGAAGAGGATGTTTCTTTGATCACTACAATCTTAAACTTCGGTGGTAGCACCTGTTAGGGTCCCAGCCATGGGCAAATAATGAAACTCCCTAAACAAAAACAAACACTATGAAAGTATAAAAATATGTTTTTATTGTAAGAATACCAACAATACATTTTTATATATATAAAAAATTACCAAAATATTTAGATGTTGATATGCCGCAAAATCAACCAACAATCTCTAACTGTTCAAGTCTAATCTCATTATCTTTCCCATACATCCCCGTAAACTGTGCCTCCTACTCTGTAACCCTCTACCATGAGTAGTGCCTGAGCCTTGTACAGGTTACACATTATTGTAATATATATATATATATATATATATATGTGAAAAATATATAGAAAATAGGAAAGAACTTGTTAGGTAAATAATCCAAACATGAGAACTCTTATGTAGCATGTTGGAATCATATTTTTAAATAAATAATTATATATATATATGTTAAACATAAAAATGTCTTTAATAAATAAATTGTCGGACCTTGTCCAGTTCTTAATATATGACGTCATTTGTTTACATTTGATACGCCAGAGCAGTTATGAATGTACGAGATTCATTGAAGATTGAAGTTTATAAGCAGTAAATTCGACCTTGTCTACTGAAAAGGTTCTTTGTAGCCCAGAGGTAAGGCACGTCAGCGTATATGATGGTTCCGTATCGAATCCTGTCAAAGAACGAATATTTTCTATAAAAATTTCTCGGACATTCAGGCCGGTAAATGTTATTTAATACTGTTTATCATAAACAGAGCATTTGCTTAAATACTTGTATCTATAAAATAACATTAAAAACATAAAAATGTCTTTAATAAATAAATTGTCGGACCTTTGTCCATTTTTAAATATATATATATATATGTATATATATATATATATATATATATATATATATATATATATATATATATATATATATATATATATATATATATATATATATATATATATATATATATATATATATATATATATATATATATATATATATATATATATATATATATATATATATGGGGGTATTATGGAATGGTTAAATTCAACAATTATTTAATATATTATCTGTTTATATGTTTATTTATAGATATAATTTTTTTAAGGAAATGCTGTTTTTTTTTTTAATTAAACAGTATTAAATAAATTTAATGTTCAAGAAATTTCATAGAAAATCTTTGCTCTCTGTCAGGAATCAAACTTGTAACTCTAATGGGGACTGTCATTTGATCTAACGTTCTTTTAACCATTCAATCACAGAGAAACGTCCAGTTAGCAAAGTCTGAATATTTAAGTTTATAAATACAAACCATCGACAATTTTTCACAGTCGATCATTTCTGCTCACAAAACATATTTTAATGTAACCAATGACAACATATTATGAAATTTCTCAAACACTCAGGTTGGTAAATGTAATTAATACTGTTTAATTGGAAAAAAAACAGCATTTACTTAAATAAATTGTATCTATAAAAATGACGTATAAACAGAAAGTATATTAAATAATTGTCGAACATAATCCATTTCATATGTTTTCATTGTTTACATTATGTTTGTCTACCGCTAAAGTAGTAGAAAAGGCTGATTAGGATGAAGTTAGTGTAGTCATGAGATGACATCACCTGGCAGAGGGCTTCCTAGACTGATGTCAACTGCAGTAGGGTCTGTCAATGGAATCAAAGGTCAAGTGACCAAGGTGAGTGTTCAAGTTTGGATGATATCAGCTTTGATTTAACCTGGAGATGAATGGGAATTGTGAGGTTTAATTGCCTAAGATACACTATGCATGAATGGATAACTCTCTGGCTTTAAACCTGTGAAGGCAACTTGTCACAGTGACCCTACAACCATACTTGGTCTGGGATTGATTATGATGATGAAACAGTATGGCTGGAATTACAGTAAATGAATGAATTACAGTAAATGAAAATGTAGATCAATACATGCATTTCATAATAAGGAATGTTAGCCATATTCAGATCCTATATAAATGCACTAGTGCTAATAACAGAAAGAAAACTACGAACGCTCCTGCAGAAGGTAATGAAGAAAAGCGAGAAGAAAGGATTAAACTTTATCTGCAAGAAGACATAATGCATGGTTGTTAAGCAAAAGGATGAACCCAAAATGCAAATTACATATCGGAAATACCAAAATCAAACAAGTGTGAAAATTTAAATATTTGGGAAGAGGACGGAAAGAGTGACACTGAGATCTGAAGATGCATTGGGATAGCGAAAGATGCCTTCCAAAAGCTAAGCAAAGTATTAAGAAACAGAAAAATTTCTTTAGAAATAAAGAAAAGAGTGCTGAACTGTTACATAATATAATCATAGTCAATGCTGGATAATCTCACAGATGAAGAAGAGACTTGAAGCAACAGAGATGAGGTTATACAGAAGGATGCTGAGAATACCATGAATTGAACATGTGAGTAAAGTGAACTTTTTACAATATCAAAGATTCCCAGAATCGACAGTCTTTAATACTTCAATACTGCAATTTCTTGCAATTCTCTGTACAAGACAGTCCATCAAAAGAATTATAGTATAACTCTGTTCCTTAGCATGTACATTGTGTTCTGCCAATATCTCATAAATATTGGACTATTTTGTTTTGATAGCATGGAAAGACATATCAAAGACACAGAAGACAATGAAGGAAAGGGGGAAGAAAGGACTAAACATTAGCTGCAAGAAGACAATGTATAGTTATTAGCAAAATGATGAGCCAAAATTGCAAATTACATATCGGAGATACCAAAATCAAACAAGTACAAAAATTTAAATATCTGGAAAATGTTTTTTAACAGAGGTTGGAAAGTGTCATATTGAAATCTGAAGGTACATTTGGGATAGTCAAAGATGCATTCCAAAAGCTAAGCAAAGTATTAAGAAACAGAAAAACTTCATTAGAAACAAAGGAAAGAGTACTGAACTGTTACATGATATCCGTCCACCTCTGAATATGTCACCTGAGGTGAGAGATTGTTTGCCCTGACACAGTTTACTCAGAAAAATTCATTATAATATTTTGCCTTTGCTTTGTATAATACGAGTTACCTCCAAGTTTAAACCAGAGACATCAAAAGACAAGTTTTATTTTGTATCAGAAGATGCAAACAGATGATGTGATTCTGAGAGAACTAGAAGTTCTACTAGCATTTATTATTGGCAGCCACAATCTTCACAACAAAAGATATGCAGATGAGACAATGTTGATAGCTGACACAGAAAGAAAACTACAAACACTCCAACAGAAGTGTTGAAACTTGAATAATGCATGGAATAATAATGCAACACAAAATGTACTTAGAACAAAATGTATTGAAACAAGAAAGTGTACACAATATTTACATATAGTCTTTTGTATATTCCTGGTAAGACCGTTCCTGGAGAATGTGTTGACTGAGTCGCAGTCGGGCAGAGTCTCTGGTTGAATCTCTTGATTCCTCCCTCTCTTCCTGGTACCAACCATATTTATATGGTCGGTACTCCACTATGCAAATTAGGTGGATCCTACCACAACAAGAAGGTAATGAAGGAAAGTGAGAAGAAAGAACTAAACATTAACTATAAGACGACAGAATGAATGCTTGTTAGCAAAAGGATAAGGCCAAAGTGCAAATTGCCAAATGGAGAAACCAAAATCAAACGAGTGTAGAAATTTAAATATCGAGGAAGTGTTTAAACAAAGGACAGAAAGTGTGACAGAGATTTGAAGGCATTATTGGGATAGCCAAGAAAACATTCAAAAAGCTAAGCAAAGTATTAAGAAATAGAAAAACTTAGAAACAAGGAAAAGAGTATTAAACTGTCGCATGATATCTGTCTTCCTATATAGCAGTGAGTGCTGGAAAATCTTAAAGATGAAAAAACAACTACAATATGGTTCTACAGAATGATACTGAGGATACCATGGACCAAACATGTGAGCAACAACAAAGTATTAGAGAAAATGGAAACGAAAAGGAAACTTATAAAGTTTATTACATCAGGAAGTGACAGTCAAAATTTCTAAGGTACATCATGAGGAAAGATGGCTTGGAAAATCTGATACTCATTGGACAGAATAATTTCTAGAGCACATAATGAGGAAAGATGGTTTGGAAAATCTGATACTCATTGGACGGAATAATTTCTAGAGCACATAATGAGGAAAGATGGCTTGGAAAATCTGATACTCATTGGACGGAATAATTTATAGAGCACATAATGAGGAAAGATGGTTTGGAAAATCTGATACTCATTGGACGGAATAATTTATAGAGCACATAATGAGGAAAGATGGCTTGGAAAATCTGATACTCATTGACAGATTGAAATTTCTAGAGCACATAATGAGGAAAGATGGCTTGGAAAATCTGATACTCATTGGCAGATTGAAATTTCTAGAGCACATAATGAGGAAAGATGGCTTGGAAAATCTGATACTCATTGACAGATTAAAGGCAAGAGGGGTAGAGGATAACAACGTATAACATACTTAATGAGCTTAAGTAAATGGATGGTAAAACAGGGTTTAGAATAAATAACAGAAAGACAAAGTTTATTAAGAGCTACAACAACAGGAAGTTGTGGAGAGCCATGATCGCCTATATCCTGAAAAATCACAGCACATACAAAAGAAGATATCCCCTTTGAGGATTAACACAGGACTTAACTCTCACATGAATACAATCATGTAAATGATGGTAAGCACCATCCTGCCATACATTAATCCACATCTCTTACATCTGTTGATTCAGTGCAACGAGCTGTA